AGATAGACTTGACAGTAACCAGGCAATATTTATCATTGACACTGGAGGACAGCCCATGACGTGTAAGTACATGAAGGAAGAATTCCGCTAAATACAGGAGCAACGAAATCTGACCGACATCAATGTACCATCAGACTTGCTGTCTTTCATGCCTTTGATGCCGTACCAAGCTAAGACGCGATACTGTGACGTCATGCCGTTTTAAGTGGAACGTACCAAGTACGAAAACGGGTTGGGGTGAAAAAGAGCGAAACAGCGGTTAAAAAACGTTAAACCTTCTAATTTCGAGTGCCGCTGTACAATATACTAGTAAATTAGACCCATAATCGATAACGAAAGTTGTTCGCTTTTCGACCCTGTAATTCTCCTTCATTTGTAGAAATAATGAGCCCACCCAAAACGATGATGCAATTCCCTCCATGAGAGAAAGGCGGCCATTTTGTTTTGAAGTTTGGGAAGAAAGGAGCGAGAAAGCGAGACTGTTGTGCGTGTTTTTTTCCATTCGGGAGGAAAATAAGGAAAACGTAGACTTTCAGGCAGAACATTCGTCGCGATACCGCATTGTACAAGGGCATCCCGTCACATCGGATCGGCGTGGGCTGTATTTGCTGTACGTTGCGTACCGAAGAGCGCGAAAAATAAGTTGTCATTCATTTTGCAAGGAGTGTTGGTTTGGGCCCAATACGGCCGTCGGCTCCAGGTGCTGTGTTTTGTTTTTGTTAAAGCAGAGTTAGAATCGCTAAACTCTTTACAGCGGTGATCTCGCTCCTTTTCATCTAGGTCAGTATATTTTGGTTGTTTATTGTTTTGTTTTTTTTAAAAAAAATCCACGACTCCCTACAGTAAGGAGGGATCTTTTAGCTAGGAAGCGGCGGAGGGGTCCCGAGTATTTTGGCGTCCCGCGTAGAGAGAGAAGAGTTCGAGAGCGCACGAAGCGTGAAGATGGCCGAGCTGTATATCCGGGTGGCCGAGGATGAAAACGAGGAGCCCATGGAGATCCCCTCGGAGGACGACGGCACGGTGCTGCTCTCCACCGTGGCGGCGCAGTTTCCGGGAGCCTGCGGCCTGCGCTACCGGAGCCCCGTGTCGCAGTGCATGCGTGGGGTCCGCCTGGTGGAGGGCATCCTGCACTCCCCCGAGACCGGCTGGGGCAACTTGGTCTACGTGGTCAACTACCCTAAAGGTATCGATAGGTGTCGGTGCTCTTCGTTGCGCGGTGCTCAGACTTGCAGCGGTCGGGTGGGTCGGGCCCTCGTGGCCTCCTGGAAAGGGAGCTGGGACAAAGCGTCTCGCCCCCCGCCCACGCAGCGAGAAGACCCGGGGCATGAGAGTTGCGGAGATCGGAGCCACGTTTGCAAACGGTGCAGCAACAACCGCAAAAACGGGGACTAAAACACCCCTTCAAATGCGCCGTTTAAAGATGCCCTTTGTTTTTAAAAAAAAAGTTGAGAGGAAACCTACCGTCTTAAACAAGCCCGCTCGCTCTTCGGCGCTCTGATAATGTGAAATTAGTGTAATTAGTTGACTTGATCAGCCCTTAATTGCAGCCCCCTTGTAGTTAAAGCCAGAGACCAACAGATACTGTTGATAACTGAAAAGCTAATGACGTGCCCCTGGCTCTTAAAAACCATCCCTTGGACTGCTTACCCTTTTTACTGATATTCTTCAGTAAAAGAGGTTAAATGCGATCTGAGGTAAAAAAAAAAAACATGACAGATTAATTGTCCTCTTTAATGCATTATATGGAAGAGTTTTGTCAGAGGTCATATATACTGCTTTTATTTTTTGGAATGAGTAATTTGGAGACAGTTGCAGTTTGTCACACTTAAAAGTGAGTCTGCTTGGCACAGGTGTTGCATTCAGAATATATCTCAGGGTCTAGTAGGGGCTGTGCTTTGGGTCTTTGCGTTGGCCGGGCCATTCCTACCCTCCTTATGTTGAATCTGCCCCCCCCCCCCCAGATAACAAGAGGAAGATGGACGAGATTGATGCCTCCTCCGCGGTGAAGATCAAGAGGGGAGTGCAGAAGACGTCGGACCTGATTGTCCTGGGCCTGCCTTGGAAGACGTCGGAGCAGGACCTCAAAGACTACTTCAGCACGTTCGGGGAAGTGTTGATGGTGCAGGTAAATTGCCACTGAAGCTTGCTCGGTTGTTCTGCAGCCTTCCCTAACACCCCCACTACGTGCATGATGGGGCTCTTGGTGCAGAACCCCGTTTGCTTGACGTAACATTTTAGAGGATCAAGGTCCGGCACCTGGAGAAATCCCAGCAGTGGAAATGTTGTGTTTTTCTTCTAATTTTTTGCAGGGAATAAACCCTTACTTGGTCCTTGGCTGCCAACGCATGCTGGCGCAGCTCCCTACTCGAAATTCATAACATTTTAAAGTTGGTCTTAAGGTACCAGTGAAAAGTACAGTCAATGAACAGATAAAGGTTTATTCCCTGCTGAAAAGAAATGCAACATTTCAGCTGTGGAGCCTTCTTCGGGTGTCGGTACGGTCAGCTTAATTTGTAACATTGTTTTAAAAAGATAAACTGGATCTCTTAGTCGTATTTACTGTCCAATCAGTCATCCTAGTGGGGGGAGCAAAGCTTGTCCAGCTTGGGATGAGAGGTGCTGCAATGTCACGGTGTGTCTTGGCTCGGTATGCTTACACAGCACTTGATGTTTCCCTTTAGGTTAAACGAGATGTGAAAACGGGAAATTCCAAGGGGTTTGGATTTGTAAGATTTACGGATTACGAGACGCAGGTGAAGGTGATGTCTCAGAGGCACATGATTGACGGGAGGTGGTGCGACTGCAAGCTGCCCAACTCGAAGGTAATGCCTGGTCTTTAAAATGGGTTGTGAAATATCAATTCCCTTCAGTGCTGCATGCTTGTAGCACTCAGCAGTATTCTTATCTGAAACCATCGCATAATTAACACGTTTAATAATATGATACCATGCTCTTTAATTAGGACTTGTTATTTTTTTTTAGCTTGCTACTAAAATATTAGCGATCGACTCAATTGGTCCCTAGCCTAAACTTGCTTCATTGTTACCCTAGGAATAAGGATCAGTCATCATAGCTGTAAGTGAGACCTCTGAGCATTCACTGGCTTTACACATGACTAAAGTTATTTAAAGAGGTTTTTAATGTTAAAAGGGTTGGGGATTGTTGGTAACGAAGCCTCACCTATGTTAAGATCTCCTGGAAGTACAGGAACAGGTAGCAACCCTATGCTATTGAAAATGACCGTCTTTGTGCTGTACTAGTTTGTGTTACTGGTTATTGCTTTTAGTTCCGACACCGCTGATGGGTTTGGAGGCCCCCAGGTGTCCTTACGGTTTTACTACGAGCGTTCTTTTTAAAACGCCTTTCCTTCTCGCCCGATCCCGGAAAACAGCAAAGCCCGGACGAGCCCCTGCGCAGCAGGAAGGTGTTTGTGGGCCGCTGCACCGAGGACATGACTGCGGAAGAGCTGCGCCAGTTCTTCATGCAGTACGGAGAGGTCACGGATGTTTTCATCCCCAAACCTTTCCGGGCTTTTGCATTCGTCACTTTTGCGGACGACCAGGTGAGTTGTTTCTTGCGAGAGAGCTCTTCCGTTGGCCTGCCTCTGCACATGGGGTGGGGGGGGGTTCTGGCTCCTTGGCTGTGCTCACTCACTTTTCCTGACCTCCTGTTTTTCCCCCCGCAGGTTGCTCAGTCACTTTGCGGAGAGGACCTGATTATTAAGGGAGTCAGCGTGCACATCTCGAACGCCGAGCCTAAGCACAATAATAGTAGGCAAATGATGGAGAGGGGGGGTAGATTTGGGAACGGAGGGTTCGGGGGCCAAGGGTTTGGCAATAGTCGGGGCGGGCTGGGCAACAGCCCCAACAATAACATGGGCAGTGGCATGAATTTTGGAGCCTTTAGTATTAACCCGGCCATGATGGCTGCTGCTCAGGCTGCTTTGCAGAGTAGCTGGGGGATGATGGGCATGTTAGCAAGCCAGCAGGGGCAGTCGGGGGCCTCAGGTACGACTCCCACTGGGCAGACCAACGTCTCCCGGGAGCAGAACCAGAGCTTCAGCTCTGGAAACAACAACTATGGCTCCAGTTCAGCAAGTTTAGGGTGGGGCACTGGCTCAAATTCTGGCCCGGGCACTGGGTTCAATTCAGGGTTTGGCTCCAGTATGGAGTCAAAATCGTCAGGGTGGGGAATGTAGGAAACTGATTTGAAGCGTTTCGCATTTCTAGAGTAAAATGGTAAGTATTTTGAAAGCTATAATTTTTCCAGCTCCATTTCTTAATATGTCCTGGGTATTTAAATGACATACTATTTTTGCCTTTCTTTTTGTAAAAGAAGAAACCTGAATGTTTTTGTACATTTGGCTAAATCTGCAAAAGATTGATGTACAGAGCAGGTGAAAGTGAATCCCAGTTTGCCAGGATGGTGAACTACAACACTACTTGTAGTGTAGGTTTTTTTCCCTTTCCCCCCCTGGTAAAATTCAGTTTGTGGCAAACCAGATTCTCTATGCATGAATTGTAAATATTGGTATTTTGAGAACAAATGCATGACATTCTTCATTCTTTTTAATTGCATACCTTGTGGAAATCCCCCACCCCCAGCAAACACACATTATGGTTTTTCCATTTATCTTGTATTGGGAGGATCTGGTTTTAAGTTTTGTTTTGCAGTTTTCTTTTTTAAAGTTTTACGGAAAAGCCTTCATTGAAATCTCTCTGCAGTTCATCTCTTTTCCAATTTCCCTGGAAGAAGCCCTTCACTGGCAGCAATGTTCGAGCGATCTCAGTATCAGTTCCCTTCTTCCCATGTGTAAATGCTTTGTCATCAAAGAGCGCAGCTTCACTCTGCATATACTGTGTTCGACGGTGGGTGTTGCATTTTTAACAACTATTTAACGGAGTCTTTTTTTCCTCTCTGCGCTGTAACGCAAGTTTGTGATGTGGAAACGGGCGAGCTTTTTATGGAGCGCTTTAAGAACACTTGAGTGGGATGGATTGTTGGTGCCACGAGTGAAAGGCTGAGTATGAGCGAGCAGAGAGAGGGGAGGAAAAAAAAAAGCACGTGTGGAAAGGACTGGTTGTGCTTTGGAACGAGAGCCCTTACTGACTTTGCGAGAGATGGCACGATCCTGTGGCTTTGGTGAGCGAGTGTGAACGGAGCAGCAGTTGCAAGAAAAGTACGAGTGTTTCTTTTCTACCACCACGAGGACACCCATTAACCTGTCATGAGATCCTAGGGATGTTTTTTTTCCTTGAATGAACAAGCGTTAAAAGTAGTTTCTAAATGTAGTGGAATGTTTAGTGATCTGAAATGAATCTTTGTATCTTTTCTGGCTGTATTATCTGACGTGAATGCCGTATGGTGTGTGCTTTTTTTTGTTTGTTTCTCCTTGTTATTGACCTGTAAGTGTGAACATGTGACCTGATGCTGGTGGAGCCTGTGATGAGGACACTGAGTGAGCTTGTGTTGTGTGGCCGTGATAAGCAAGTGAGCTCAGTGTGTCTCAAGGGAGGGTGGTGAACGTCTGTAAGAATTCCTTTAGAAAGTTTGCTTTTGTTAAGTGTTCGGATGCATTTTATATGACTTGTCATTGAAGGGAATTCTCAAATAAAATTAATTTGAATAGGTATTGGTCTTTTAATATGGCTTTTTTTAAACTTACTGTGATTGAGCCAAATGCAAAAACCTTATTTCACGTATTTAGGGACCATGGATAAGGAGTTACCCCATTCTTCACCGCTGATGCAGGTCTACTCTTGGATAAGGAAGATGTCTTTTTTTTTCAGAAGGCTGAAGACCCAGGCTCATTGGAGTTTTGTATGGTCCCAAAACTTGATAACAGTGGGACAGCAGCCATTGCTTCAAACCTGAAAAACAGGGGCTGTCTTCACTTTACAAGAAAATGGGAACCCATCTTTCTTGAATAATTTCAAGGACTCTTTTTAAAAGAGAGATGTGGTTATGAATAGCCATGAACATTTTTTTAAAAATGTAGGTAAGTACTGCTGCAAGACCTTAATGTGGGTAAGAAAGACAAAGTCCCTTCCCATTGGTGTGCAAGAGTTCTGATCCTCCTGCATCTCCTCCCCACGTTTACATGGAAAGCAACTGGTTTCTGAAAAAAGAGGTTTTTGTCCTGTTTTATTTAAATTTTCAACGGTTTGAACACCTCAGAATGTGAAAAATAACTATCTGCTTTACGGGGGATGCAATTTGTGTTAAGTACTGTGATCCTCGATGATAAATGTAACAGTTTTGTTTCATTGTAATTAAACGCTAACCTTTTTTTTTATAAAGTCTGACTTTTTCATTTTGAAGCGGTGTGATAGAGTTCTAAGTGTGTCCAGGTTAACCTTTTCCAGTGATGGCCAAAATGGTACTAAAATTTGTGAATTTGACAATTTCCAGGATTCATACATATCCACAGGTATTAAATTGTTCGTGAAATGAAGAGGGGTATTTGTTCTGGGTGTAGTTTAAAGTAAGGCTTCAGAGGGTAGTGCCCTCTATGAAGTGGTTGGTATACAAACCTGTACTTTCTACATAGAATGTAAAGCCCTAATGTATTTGAAACACTGTCTAGTATTTTTCTGATCCTCACAAATGTGAAATAAATTGTTACATTTTCTACCATTTTTTTGTTTCCTTCAGTACAGTTGGTGGGGTAACTATAAGCTTTGTATTAACTACTAAATATATATTGAAATTATATAAATGCACTCAAAAGGAAAGACATCACTTTAGTTTTGCATTTTAGACAAGTCCAGATTTTGTAAGTTATGCACAAAATCGTAGGTTTTTAAAATTTCTGCAGTGGTTTCAATGAACAACGTTAAAATGGCAAAAATTCACAACTTGTAAAGAATTTGTTTTGAAAAAGCTAGATTCTTGAACTGTGATTTTAAATCTTGATATTTAATGAAATCAAACCTTTTTTCTTAAATTAGGGGGATTACAGTTCTAAGAGACGTGGCCTTCTTGCAAGATGAAAAGTCAACATGATTGCAGGCACGAGATTGTTTTAAAGTGGGTTAGGGAGAAGTGGTTTGCTTAATTCTCTTGATTTTCTAGCATTACGGATTTTAATAAGGGATCATTTAAACATTTGTCAAGCTAGTATGATTAGCAACTGTTCAGTCTAGAGCTAGTTATAATTCACAGTTCTTGATTCTACAACTAGCATGATGAAATGAAAATGAATGTTAATAGAACCCTTCTGTTAACATACAGTTGTGTGCAAACGTTAAGGCACAGCCGGTTAAGTGGTTTGAACAAATCTCTTAAGTGAACAAATGTGGTACAAAGTTAAACTTGAGATTGAGGTTGGAAAACAATTTTACAAGAAAATTGGATTTTCTTGAGATTATAATGCAAAATTACTATTCAGTTGCTGATCATAAGATTGGAAAAATGTGGCATGTGCAAAAGTGAGCGGCTTTACATTTGATTTCTTGCTACTTTTTTTATTTGTTTTTTAATGGCCCCAAAATTTGATGAATGCATTAGGTCATAAATCAGATGAGGAGAATAACAGGGTTGAACAACTACTCTGACCCTTCGCGATGTGATTGTCTTTATTCCTACTTTCAACAACCATTGCCTCCTCTAAGCAACTGTCTGAGGACTTTTGACAAAAAGAATTCACTCTTACAGAGTAGGAGAAAACTGAAAAGATCTCTTAAGTCTTCCATCTTGCAATTTTAAATGCCGCAAACATTAAAAAGGGGAACTAAAGGGAACATTTGAAGTAAAGGCAAGGTCTGAAAGACCTAGAAAAATCAGATCTGCAAAAATAGAACCCTCGGTTCGCTGCAAAGGACTGACACTGGAGTACTTGTCCACAGTGCCGAGTTTCTGACCCAAAAATTAGCTGCATTGGAGAGTAGTCAGAAGGAAACTTTTCCTAAGACCTCATCTCTAAACATGGTGTCAAAACAAAACCTTCATAGGCCGGAAACATTTTTGAACATGGTGCTGTGAACTGATGAAAGAAAAATTTAACTTTTTGCCCAAACCACATAAGATGTATTTGGAGAAAAATGGGTTTGAAGAAAATAATACCATGTCAACCATTAAGCATGTTGATTTGGGGTTGTGGAGTAGCTAGTGGTACAGGAAATATTGTGTGTGTGGAAGGAAGAATGGATTTGCCTATGAACAAATCCTTGGAACTAATGTCCCAGAGTGAGTGAAGAAATTGAAGCGGAAGTGGTTCAGCCAGACAAATCACACCTCAACTAGAACCACAGCTTTGTAAATTGACAAGAACGAAAGATTAAGACTTTGGAATGGGCCTTCACAGTCCCCAAAATTATAAATCTCTGGATATTTTCAGATTTGATCTCTGCCAATACTGACTGACAGTGCTCAAACCTTTGCACATGCCATATACAGGGTTTCATTAATTTAAATATCTACAAAACTAATTGTGCATGAGGGTTTGCAGAAAGATGCCCTGTTTAAGATTGAAGCTACAGACGTGCCAGCTTCTTTTCACTTAGAAATTCACTGCAACATGCAGTTTGACTAAGGGCACCTACAGTACACTGTTGCACACAGCTGTACTTTTTGAATACATATAATTGTTTACCAGTAAAGTGTTGTCCTCTAGATATTGTTAAAACTCAGTAACAATACATATCATTCCATGCTTGTGATGAAGGCTAAAAACAAAAAGTGACCCTGAAGAAGGAATTCATGTATAATAACCAAAAGCTCAGTGTTTTCATTATCAGTTCTCAGTTACATCATTTGTGGTAGGGAAACCAAAGCTTTGAAGATCTTTTAAGAAAACTGACATGCTGTTTTATAATTTTAATGCTTTATGACTCAATATGTTCTTATTCAAAAACACCCATTATGAAAAGAAACCAAAATTAAAATAATTCCAACAGCAGTTAAACTAAGACTGTTTTTTGCTCCATAAAGCCTACTGTTTAAAAGTAGTAGTAAGCGCATGTAATGGAAAAATGTGCACCTTTTAAAATATGCATCAGGGTATTGCACAATTATTTCAGGGACCTAATTTAATTAGACTCAGCTGAAGAGAATTAACTTGGTTCCGAATTAACTTGTAGGCCAAAGTACAGTTATCTGCTGTGACTGGAAACCGAGATATGAGTAACAATTTATTATACTTAAATTCCTCCTCAAAAATAGCAGTGTGGGTTTAGTGCGCATTGGACCTTATGAAGTTTGCCCCACTGGCAGTAAATGGAATTTCCCTGGCAGATTGGGTGGAGCCATGTGATTTAGTGACTAGTCAGTTCCCTGACAGATTGAGGCTCAACAAGAAACAAGAACGTGCTTCTCCACCCCTTACGCATTGTGGCTGCAGTCAGTGTATCTGCCAGAGAAAGGTCTTTCCATTTCCAGTATGAGTCCAATGCATAACCAAGAAATTGTATATTCATTTTCTAGCAAATACAGAGCATGTTCTCCTGTATGAATATCCCTATATAACAACGTTTTTAAATCAAAACATGAGAAATTGGCAACAAAAGATGATCTTATGTGCGAGGCTCAGTGAAATAAATGCCACAGAAAACATTCAACACTTAAGAGGGTTCTTGTCCATTTGGCACATGAGTTACTGTAAAACTCGGAATAAAAGGATGAGCACATGAGCGCTGTGATGTGCATGGGTTCATCCTTTGTCTTCAACCTGCGTAAAAGTATCAACACTTCCGCAGTGATCCGCATTAAGCAAGGGACAGGTTTCATATGGCTGTCTAATCATTACCGGACTATGAAAGTATATAATTAGCAGGGTAAAAAAGAAAAAAAAAAACAGGATGCTGCAGCTAATGGAAAGAACAAGCATTTAAGCAAATTACAGCTTTATTTAATATCTGTAATTATCGGCATTAGTCATTTCCCCTGGATAATTTTCCAATACTAAACCTTCCATTTTTTCCTAATAAGGACCTTGTTTCATTGGGTATTTCAAATGTGCAATTAAGATTAATTTCTACAGATTTTGATCAATATTTTTATGGATATAAATCTTTTTTTCTCGTGTCAACTATGTACCTTACTGGTGAAAAGAAGAAACATAAAGCTAAATCAAAAGTGACTCTAGTTAGATACAGCAATTTTTTAAATACCAGTATATCTGCTTCTCCAAGTCTAACACACTTCAATGTAAAATCTGCATTATTTCACATTTACTGAAATTAAGCTGGTACAAGTCTCATCATTCTCCGATTACACTCATAGATATTTCATAAAAGATCTTACAGACTTATTTTAAGTTATAGAAATTCATATTAAAAAAATAATTAAGAAAAGGCAATGTACCTAAAGTAAACTGAGGTAGTTCTAGTAGGGAGCTGCGTCAGCATGCGTAGGCTGCAAAGGAACAAGTAAAGGTTTATTTCATGCTGAAAAGAGAAGAAAAACAAAGTTTTGGCCAAAACGTGTTTCTTTTGTTCACTTTCAACATGGAATAAACCTTTACTTGTTCCTTTAAGGTAAACCAAGGATGTGTCATAAAACTCGAAACACAAGCATTTTCAGATGACCATATACCTGTTTTTTCTCCAATGGAAACACTACAAAGACCAAATGACCTTCAGCTCACTTTCACTTTTGAAAGTGATAATGCAAAAGATTTTGTTATACTTAGCTTTTTCAACACCCACTCTGTAAAAACGTCGTTTCAAGTGGTATTGGGAAAGATATCCTAGTTGGGACACATAAAAGAAAATCTGTTCTACATAATCTTTTAAAAACAGTAAGAATGTTCAAGCTCAAGCCCACTGTATGTTGAGCAATGATTTGTTTTATCAAGCAGATATTTGGTAAATCTCAGCTTCCTTTGAAATGGCATGAAACTGGCACAAATAGACTACAAACACAACCAAAGGTCCCATCTTTGCATTTAATTGGTAAGTCTTGCATGCCACAGAACGCCAACTGGAAAAGCATTTCTACGTCAGACAGCTTCAGCGCTCCCCCTAGCACGAGGAGAAAGTCTTCCAGAAGAAGTTTTTGCAGGGGGTCCTCTCTCGGGACACGGACGGGCCAAAGACGGATCTCTCTCCCATCAGCGAGGACTTCAGCTGCTCCGAATCCACGGCGGACTGCTCCTTCCTCAGCAGGTTAGAAACCAACAGCCCCGACAAAACTTTCAGCAGCACGTCTTTCCTTTCTTTAGCCAAACCCTGCAACAGGAAGATACCTTGCGAGTTCCCCTCCAGCTTGTGAATGTCCTTAATTTCATGCCGAGCCAAAATGAACAGAGTAGTTACCTGAGCTGGAAGAGCTAAAGCACAGCTCTGGTGCTGAACAGATCTCAGGGCAGTATTTAAAGCCAGTGCAATAAAATCTGCTTATCTGAAGCCGGGAATGTATGCTTCAGCTCCAAAGTCACTCTATCACAGCAAGAATTCCCTGTTCAGCCTCGGAGGAAGCAGAATTCTAACACTGTCCTTAGCTGCGGTGAATATATTTCCCATACTGTTACAGAGCATGTCTATGAGACACTATTATCATAAAAAAAAGAGTGCAAATATAAGTCCTCAAGCAGGAGTTAATATGAACATGGTCTTGAGGGAGAGGGTCACACAAGATCTAGCAAATGTAAATATTAGTACTCCAGCACTACAACACACAGTGGTTTCAATTCTAAGTCCAAACAGATTTGTTTTTCTGCAAGAAATTTGCATACTAACGTGCATACTCAGAAACTGCTTTACGGGAGGACTCTGTTCATTTTCACTCACCCCATTGCTCTGCAGCGCTCGCCTCTCTTCGCTAGGCACTGCAGCAGCACACTTGAGGCTCCACACGAGGAGAGCCAGAGGCACCAGGCTCGACAGCAGGTGCATGACGGCTCTGGATGCGGCTGCAGCTTCCAACGCCTTTGAGCTCCAGCAGAGTTTTACCACTCTTATACCTCACCATGCATGAGGCTCTGACGCACTCCGGAGAAGACTTAATTAACCAAATTAAGCATTTTACCATTAACCACTTAATGCTAGAGCGGGATATTTTTAAACATGCAATTAAAATATGATGCACTGCATTTCTAACGCACTACACAGCAAAAACATCACCTGTCTCATCCGCACGTTAAGAGTTGCGTTTTAGCCTGTCATTGAGGTAGCAGAATTTAAACATCTACAACATGAAAGGATGTACTAATCTAAGACAAATTAGACTGAGGTCTTTTTTGACTGCACTGGTTGCATTTAATAAACATTAATGAACACTGAACTCATTAACTCTGGCAAAAAGCAACAACAGGAACTCAAATCTGAAGAGGAATGCGGGAAAATTATTTCTTTCTACTGAAATAACTGATAAACTAGAAGAGAATGGGACTGTACATGTAATGCCCAGGGAAAGCACCCAAAGAGCCACTTTTCTGCTAGGCAAAGCATGAACATGTCATATTTCTTCACTGGCAAAAGCCCCATTTAAAGCATTAGCCTCAGAACAGGCAGTCCACACACAGGGAAACTAAAGACAGAGTATTGATCGTTAACTAGAAGTTTACTCATGAAGGAACATTCTGACACTGCAGGTCTGCAGAATGAAGGACCTAAGGAGCTAAACGCATAAGCAGAGGGTTGTAGGTTCAAATCCAGAGAGGGACACTGCTGCCAGGTCTCTGGGTAAGAGGCTTTACCCAAGCTGCCCCAGCAAACCTAACTCTATAAGCAGGTATAGGCAGGCACACGTTGCAGAAAAAAACACAGAATGCATTTTCCTGCCTGAAATAGCTTTTAATTGCATGCATGTGTTTTTTTTTCTTTTAGTCATTAAACTGTTTGCATGAAAAGAACTCCAGAGCAAAAGTAACATTTATTTACAAAAAGAAAAATCATTAACAACAACAAAAAACTACCACCATCATGCTAATTGCATTCAGTAGAGTTTTGTCCCCACAGCCGATCACTTTGAGCTGGTAATATAACTACCAGTTTGTTATTAAGGAGCTAGCATTTTTTTAAAAAATGGCATAATTGCTGTATTTTCATACTTGAGTGCAATTAGTTCTTCTGTGTCACTGTTAGGACTTTTCAGGTCAGACCTGGGGAAAAGTATGCAATCTTAAAAATCCCCCAAAACAAAAAGGCCCTTTGAAATGAAAGGACAGAAATATGAAGCAACTGTTGATCTTTTACTGTGGGAAATATACCACAAATTAGTAATATAACACTAAGCACAGGCTTTGTGGCTTGTGTATCTACACAAATTTAAATCACACATACGATACACCAGGGCTTTGTTCTCCTAGTGTTTGTGACCTCAGTCTCCTGCTGCTTTTCACTTTACTTGAGTCACTCCTTAATTAATCCACGAGTTGAACTATGCTTAATTAATGAACGTTTGCCAGAATGTTACTAAAATACAGAATGTAATAGTTTAATCTAGAAATCTGTCAAGATCTGAAAACAATACACCAGCTAATTCATCAAATTATTAGTTCAATAAATACTAGAATTAATTAGTAATGGGATGAAAAGCAGTAGACACCCAGGTCACCAGGACCAGGGCAGGAAGCCCTGCTGTACGTATTTATTTTATTCATAGTATTCATTGCGAACAGTGCCAAGGTAGGAGAGACCACCTCAGCTTGAGAATCGATACTTCAGAACAGTTGAGCATGTTTGCTAAACGCTGGCTTGTACAGCACCCGCGGGGCTGGAGACCTTCCTATCCCATGTTGGAGTCCTCGCTTCCAGCCACCACGTCCTCCGCCGGAGCAGCGCTGCCCTTCTTGCCCTTTCCAGCGCTCTTCTTCCTCTTGTCCTTCTGCTGCTGCTGGTTGCTGGACATCAGCTCCTCGCTCCTCCTCGTGATGTACTTGTGCTGCAAAGGCAAGACGGCGCTCATCGCCCGGGCCGTGGAAAACCCCCCCGAGAACGGGCGGGGGAGCTTCGGATCGGCGGCGAGCCGTCGAAACCCATATGCCCCCCCCCCTC